CCATCGGTATCACTGAATCTCTGCCATCATAAACCCTTTTGTGCCACTCGAGAGCACGACTACTTGAAAGCTCCTCACCTGCATATGCTTGCTTAATCATGTTTCCCGTTTCACTAAAGGTTTTCCCGAGCTTAATGCAGAAATTTATGTTCACTCTTTGTTCACGGTCAGCATCCACTGTGTCACCTTAACGAATGCGACAACAATCCGAACACTGTGTTGTTAAGCACAGCCCTGCCACCAGAGAGGTTTGCTCAGAAACATGGTTAAGATCATGTCAAGTAAGAATACATACCAAGTTACACAAAACCAACATTTGTGTCTTTTTTAGTACTGCAAACGCAGAAATTTAAAAACAAAAATGTGTCCTGGAACTTTTCGACACATTCTGAAAATTTGGCGACTTCTACTAAGGTGGTTGCGATAATATGTAAGCACCTGAAAATAATTTAATGCGAAAACTCTTGTAGGGGCTCTGTCAATCTAGGACCCCTCGGTAACTGCAAGGATGTTGTAGAGCCCTGAACTGGCCCTGAATCCTTTGACTGACCCCATACCAGTATAGTGCAGTATGTGTTTTCTGCAATGGCAATGTATCCTAAAGCAAATGATAGATATATGGTAATATGACGCAGTGCTCTAAAAGCTTCGGGAATATTTCAGACGATGACAGATATTTGCGTGTATGTGTTAAATTTTGAACGCCAGTATATATTTGACCCGTAGAAATGGCAACATAGATGTAAAGATTTTTCACATCTCAAGTGGGTTGCGTTTTCAAATAATTTAATATACGGTTCGAAACAAATTACGGGAGTAAACGAATTAATAATATGTAATAAAGGTTTCTTTTCAAATGATTATAATCACACGCATACTAATATTTTCTTTTTAAATTATTAAAAAGAAAGTATTTATACTTTATTCTTACTGAATTAAATCATTAATACTATAATCATAAATATACACAAGCTTCAGCCAAATCCATTTTTCAGTTAAAGCAATCTGATTTGTATCACTCCCTTCCCCCACCCCGAAAAAACGTAGAAAACAAATTATGGAACCTTAAAGACGTACCTAATAATAACTAATGTGCTAATAACAATGTAAATCAGAATAAAGCTGTCAAAGTAAAAGCATCTGTAAATAACATTACGTATAAATGAAAAAAGTGCAGAGAATTTCGGCAGAAGAGTAATAGAACTCAAGTATGGAGTAATGTTTTAGATATCTGTGTCAGAAATACGTTATAAATATGCGTTTAAAGACATGCTTAGAACAAGTATACTAGTGTATCAATGTCATTGCAGTTTAAGTCTTCAAATATTATCTATGATTTCCTTTCGTGCCTTTCATGCTTACAGAACTTTGACTTAGAAGAGCGTAGAAGGGTTAAGATGAATAAAGGCGAGAGGAATAAAGACATAATATATATCGATATATGGTGAGTTTCAAAAATATACATTGAGATAAAAAATAGTGCTGCTCAGATCTTTTATTTTAGGTGAACAGTGTTGAATAAAACTAATACATGATGATATTCGTGTAAAGGCAAACAGAAAATAATCTAATGGCTTAATTTTCACGAAATATATGCATTTTTTATATTTGTGGAAATAAAAACATTTTAATAATGAAATCTTTATTGAGTTAAAACGCGATATACCACACTTGTCTCACGGGAAATGCAAACTTAGCCCTCAGAAGAGATGTAATACTGTTATACGGTTGAATATGAATTTATATTCCTCATATATAGCGCAGATGATTGAGAATTTTACTGCATATAATGGCTCATGAATGATATACAATTTGAAGGAATAAATAAATGTATACATATGTAGGGTGAGAGACAGAAATAGATACATAAGTATTTACGTATTAGCCCCCCTCCCGACTGTGAAAGTTAGCTGAAATGCCCTCAAAGTTGCACCAGTCTTTTCTGCGGAAATCATAAGCTTTCGTTTGGTTTATGTGATTACGGCAGAGCCTCGAAGGCTATCTGCGTAAGGGAGGGTTGCCTTCATGGAGGACTTCTTAAGGAAAACTGGCTCGTATACACGTTAAACTTGAGGAAAACCCCGAAAAAGTCTATGCAGGCAGCTCGTTCGGGAAATTCGAGCCTCGGACCGAGCTACCAGTGTTCAGCGACGTTACCGCTCGGCCACTGGTGGGCCTCGGAAATCACAAAGAGGCGCTTCTGTATTTAAGGAATATTTAGTATTCGACTCGCTTCATTTTTGCGTCTTGTAGAAAGGCTTTCGTCGATTTCTACTATTTTGTTAGGCACTCCGATCAAGAAGCTCTGTTTAGAACGTTATAAGTAAACATTCGCAGGTAATTGTTTCCCTCTATTAGTTTTTATCATATTCATTTGATACACATATACACATATTAATACACATATTTTTTGATTATATGATTCCATAAAACGGTAAGGACACAAGTTAATTTTTACAATCATTTTTTACAAAGTGCAAGACGAAAAATAAAGCAATAACAATAAATTTATAAACTTGGCTTATCGAGAATCTATCAGATTTTATCAAACTAAAATACAGATTTTATGAATGTGTTGTTATGTCACATAGGCTAAAAATTCGAATTAAAAAATTAAAATCAAAATATTTTTTTTTAATTCCGTTCTGCGCGATAACTGCAAAATTGAAATATAATAAATTTAAAGCATCTAAATAAATTAAAAGATTGGAACAAAAGCAAGTAAAGTAATGTGTAATATAATAATTGCAACCGTGTATAAGAGGTTTAACACAATATCAAAACTAATTCAATTAAAAGAGAGAATTCATAGTAGAACAATCTCGAAAAATTAAATTGCGAAAGGGAAAATATACAAATAAAAATCAATCTCCTTTTATTGAAACTCCAATTCAGAACTCATCAGAGAAAAAGGAATTAAAGCTTAATAAAAGTCGATTCATATATGCGACTTATATATACATATATAATTTCTACTAAAATTAATCTTAGGAGATAATATAATGAATATTTCTTTAGTAAATAAATTATTATTAACTTACTTTGCAGCAATTGCGCAAGTAGTAGAATAACTCGATTTCGAACTAAGTGAATTTAAGATCATACATATATAAGGCCAAGAATAAATATATATAGGCCTCAATAAACGTGCTATATACTTAAGGCCAACAATATGTATCTATGTAATCAGTCTGTGCCATTATTGTAATAAGATGACTTGGTGAAAGTTGCAAAGGATTGACGATGGTTCTCTACGTTATAACTTGAAGCGAATTTACTGCGTAGTTACGAAGATAACACTAGGAGACAGATGTGGCCGTTGATTTAGAAAACGTAATTTTATTCTTTGATAATGCACATCATTACTATGGGTGCGCTATTCACCTCACAGTTTTATACAGCTTACATTTCTTAAATAATAGACTAAAGTTGGAAAAAATAAACTCTGCGTGGATAGCGGCAATGCGACGACGCGGATTGAAAAGCAGAAGCAGAAACAAAGAAAAGGAGAGATGCTTGATGCTTTGGTTGCATATTCTGGTTTACAGTGGGAATGAACTCCGCTCTGATGTCGATACCAATGATTATTAGTTACGGAGTGCCTATGGTTCAAAACCATGTACCTCCACATCAGAAAAATATCAAGTAATGAGCAGAAGTAGGAAAATTGCTGCGACGCAATTACCTCTTATACTATTTCAAATCACATGACAGATTAATGTCAAGATGTTGGATTTAGATTTCAATAAGTGCGCTTTAAAACTGCAGCTAAGTTTAGTTAGAAAATTTATTGCTGTTATTTCTAGAATGAAAACGGAAATTAAAGGGCTATTATTAATATATTATTTGAAAGATAGATATTTATATATATTAATAGTGAGATTATCTCTTCGGAAACAAACGTAGACATAATATTATTGTATTTAAAATCTATTTTAAGGGTGGATACTGTAAAATTACAGAAGATTTTTTAACTTTTAAAAATGAGTAATTAAACTCATTTTTAAAAGTTAAATATTATTGCTGGTTCCAGGCAAAAAGGTTGGATCGTACGATCAGATATCCATAATTATTTGCGATTTTATTAAAGAATGTCTAATACCCGTTGAAAAGTCAGCCGGTCAGACTTTTTCAAATGGAATCAGCAGTTATTTTTTAAATTAAAAAAAATACCGTAACTATATCTACATATCAATGAATAAATACAAAGTAAAAAGCAGTAATCCAGTTGCGCGCGGATAGCAGCAAAAACTGAGGGTAATAATGCAAAATTAAATTAAAAGATGCATTTAAAATTCATTACATATTCAATTCGGGATAAAACACATGGGAAAACGAAGAAACCAGAAGCACGGTGGCAAATTGCAAGAAATAGAGAAGCAAAATATTCAATTTCAAACGTATTTTATTTTGCATTATATATATATAGAGAGAGAGATAGATAGATAGATTTACTTATTAACTATATAATTTATGTATTCTATAAAATGAATAATAAGCGAATAAGAAAACGGCACGAATCGTAAGCTTACAATATAACGATTGCCTCATTCTTTAATAAAATTCTGGATAACTCGTCTGCGCTTTTGCCATATTCAACTAAGAAACAAATAAACAGCTGTCAAATTTAAAAAAAAAAAAAAAAATATATATATATATATATATATATATCCTTTTCCCATTGACAATATATATAGCACTCTCAGATGCTATATATATTCATGCTAATTGCATGGTCCGCCTGTTAAAAAATAAATGGGAATTATGATACATGTGTATCGCGTTTCCTCAGACGCGGCTGTTTGGTACGAACAATGTACGTCTGTAGCAATCCGTCAGGGAGAATGCCATGTAGTCAAATACGGTTTATTTCTTTGCGATTTGGCTATTGGCGATATCATAAGTTTGGCGGCATGAAGCAGTCACTCTTGGCGAGACACAGGAAACCCCGCGCTTGCGAAACGGAATCATTCCCCATTCACTCGATAGAACTCCGAATCGGCTATAGTTCCTGACATCGCTTCGGGCGGTGCAAAAGCGGCAGTGGGTGTAGTGTACGAAGCGAAACTTTTTAGTTAGTTTAACTCTGGTTTTCGTTTTTCAAAATTCATGAATCTGACGTGAAATCCGGCAGGTGGATTCCTGCAGCAAGTCAGTTTGTAGTTTTCGTGCACGGTGCATTTCTGGATTACTTCTCATCGAATTTGGAAAATAACAATATGGATTAATAAGAATGTGTGCTGGCATATGCCCATCGTAATGGGGGACCCAAAGACAGTTTTGGAAGGAAGTGTCAAGTACAGAGATAAGAAAAAGGTGATAATTCCATTTTTAATTATCAGTCCAATAATTCCCGTACTGCCAGTGCCAACTAGTATAGAAAATGAATACTGAAAATATATTTGAATATTTATTTTAATTGTGCAAGATGTGTTTTGATATGTAAAATTTATAGCATCTTGTAGAATTTATTTACTTTTTATGTATAAATAATATGCAAAATACGGTTTTTGAGTTGGCAGGAGGATATTGAATTTTTTTCAGTGCTTTTACCCGGAAATCGTTTCATGGAATTATTATTTAACGCTTTCATACTAATATATTGTTTGATAGTCTACAAATATTAGTGGAAAAAAACTCATCTGACTTGAATATTTAAAATATAATTCAAGTATTTTTTCGAAAAGCGTGAAAAAATTCTAGAAAAGATACCGAAATTGTCTCTTAACTTAGTTTTTAGTCGTCCTCAGTTTTTAGCCGCTAAATTCATTAAATGTGAAGAAATTAAGACTTAAATTTTATTTTTAATGCATTTTTGAGTCTATTCCAGGGAATGAATCCTCCCGTCTCCCTTTTTTATAATATGGCTATATAATACATGATTATATAATATAAATACATGTTACTCTTATGAAAGTAAAATAGTAGTGTACATATGCATAAAAAAACCTGTTCAATAAAAAGCACTGTTTTGATAAACGTATAAAATGCAAGTGTTTTCCAATTAGGAATACTGGGGAAAGAAAAAGTTAAAATTATTTTTGAATTTAGTCATTTCTTTTAATTACTTGAGTAAAGGTAATTAAAATAACTCATTTCTTTGAATATATATGCATACATATTTAAAAAATATTCGAGGAAGGAAAAAAGGAAGCATAATGGGCGCTATAAGATGTTATGTAGAAATAACACACCAAAATGAACGAATGTAGTTTTAGAATATAATATTGTTGGATACGGATACAAACTGTTAACGGTACCTTGTGTTTTCATTGGTTACCGGATTGATTGTGTCACGTGGAGGATAAGTTAACAATTTGAAAATTTTATTTTCTGATTACGGCTAGTTAACTTTTAAACTATTAAGTCCACTATTTAAGACTTCCAGATTAGTTTTGAACTGCGCGCTCATAAGGGTGAAACTCAAAGTAATATTATATATGCGTTATATCACGTAATGTCCTCCTCCTTCCGATGCGATGGCAAATAATTCCGATTTCATATTTTGTTTTACATGCAATTCACATTTCTTCGTTTTTCTGATTAATTCAGAATTTGTTCTATGGTCAACAGACGTGATCTTCAGATCGAGTAACATTACATTCTTCAGCTGAATTTATTTACTTTGGAGTATGTATACATATTTATTATTTACCCTTTTTGAAAATAAGCGTTCCAGTGCATTTCCAGTTTCTACTGGTGGTTATGCTGTAAAGACCACTAGTTATTGGTATTTCGACCCGGATTCGAATTCAGGAAAAGCAGCTGGCAGCATTGCTGTTTTTCCTCTACGTATAACCCGACTACAATCCACTTTCCCTTAGAGAGTCCTCCACGATGGCATCATTTAAGAAGATGTCCTTCATGTATATTACCATAATCCTATAATCTAACGTAACATATTTTAGTGTTTAGTCTAGAGCAGGGGTTCTCCACCAGGTGAAAATCCCTCCCAGGGAGGATTTCATAGGGAGGGGGAATGCGGTCAGCCCATTATTTAGCAGTTAAATATTTAGTTCATAAACACATGTTTTAGTATTCACCAATATTTACTTTATTCTTGTTGCTTAATTTATAAAATACGTCAGAAAATAATCTAATTAAATGCATATAAGTATTTTTCATGTTTTGAAAAGGAGGGCTATTCTAGCAGTAGTGAAGGTGTGTGTGGGCAAAAAAGGGTTTAGAATCACTGGTCGTTGGAGGTTCAATTTATGAGTGTGCAATATAAATGAATTCTTTATAAAAGAACGTATGCTAAAAAGATGTAGGTTCCCAAACGGGAATAGACTAAAAATACCATATAGAAAAACTTTCCTCGCAAGAATTATACTTTCCCTTTGACTAGATACATTAATGAAATATGAAAAATAATAAATTTGACTGAGAAATAGTTAATTTTATAATAAACTAATTATTCAGTAGGACAACGTTCTAATCAAATGAGTTTTTGTCCAATTTAAATATGCTTAAAATCTTAACACGTATTCTAGTTAGTGCGGTAGGATGAACAGTTAAAAGCGACTCCGTTCTTTTACTAGACAGACTATATATTTTACATGATTAAGTAAATTTATTTGACAAAATATTTGCTGCACTGTTAGTCTTCTACCAAAGTGATTTCATCAAGAAAGTGCATTTTGAGAAAATTTCAGATTATAAATTTCCAGATCAATTTTACCATTAGGTACTATTGACAAGTAATAAGCCTAAATTTTTACTTTTCAATGATAGTAAAGTTCGGCATTTATTTATACATTTTTATCTGCAAAAATAATATAAAGGTAAACATGTAATAAAAAGATAAAAATTAAAATATATTGAGGAAATCAAGGTTTGACGTAGAATTACTGTTTGAATAAAACAAAGGTATACAGACTTTTATAATTCGCTATTACAGAAATTCACTATTACTAATCAATTTTTTACCACAAAATAATAAAATGTAAAAATTATATTTAGAAATTGTGCAGTAAAGATGTTATATGGTATTAGTTACTTTAAATATTACACTAATGCTATAAAATAAAATATTTTTGAACCCACCAGCGGCCGAGCGGTAAAGTCTTTGAACACTGTAGTTCGGTCCGAAGTTCATATCCGTCGAACGGGCTGGCTGCGTGTGAGTTTTTGTGGATTTCCCCATGTGTAACATGTATACGAGCCAGTTTCTCTTAGAAAGTCCTCCACGAAGGCAATTAGTCCTTGTATGCTTTGCCGTAATTAAATAAATCAAACCAATTGAAATATTTTTACGAAACTATATATTAAGATGTACAAATATGGTTATTTTGATATCCACTTTTGCTCTGATGAATAATGTAATACTATTACAGGAAAGATAAAATGAAAGGTCTTAGACCTCGTCAACTGATAAATTCTAATCTTCATTTGGAGCTCTTACAAAATACCTAAGTTAAGTGCCCGTTCCTATGGAAGGCTATCTGAACTTGTGAGAAAAATAATAATACAACAATAAATGATGCTTAATTAAAACTAAATAAAATGAAAAGGGGTTAAATAAAATATTAATATCGACATGGACGCTTTCTTCCAGATGCATTCATGTTTCCCCACTTTTGCTGTTCCCGAGGAAAGTGAGATATATTAATATCAATTTTGTTAACTGCTAAATAAAGTATTGCAACAACAAAAGAATTTTGTGTCAATATTTGAACAAATAATTGTTATATAAGGAAGTTACAATGAGAATGAGCTTCTTGAAAGAACACACTGTTGTTGTAGTTAAGATACGAACTTTGCTTATTCCACCCGAACTCAAATCTCGGGAAAAGCGCTGCATGTGTGAATGCTTTGGAGATTTTGCTTACGTGTAACTGAATATGAGAAAATTTCCCGTAGAAAGACATTCACGAGGTTTTAACTTTCCTTACGTAAAAAGTCCTCGCGTGCTGTAACGGACTAAAATGGGCATTTTTGTACGGTTTTTGTTTTCATACTATGAATACTTCTGCTTGGAAACCATTGATTATTTAATTGATTCATTGGTTATTTATCCATTGATTTATTGATATCGCAGGTTTTAAGGTATTTAAGCCGAGTTAAGGTGACATCCTTAGCGATCATTCCTGTTTAAAAATTAAAGAAGAAAAAATGTTTCCCGACCTGATATTCATGACCCAGTCAGATATCTGCCCATTAGGGCAGCCGAGTGGTAAAATCGCTGAACATTGGTAGATTGGTCCGGGATTCTGAATCGCTGCGAAGAGGCTGGATACATGGGCGTTTTCGTAGTTTTCCCCATGTATAACGTGTATAAGAATCATTTTTCTCAGAACGTCGTCCACAAAGGCATTCCTTCCCGTAGGCAGATAGCCCTTGTGTGCTTTAATCAAATAAATCAAACTAGACATATATCTAACGTAGTAAACTCTCTATAAAACAATCACTCACAATTCCAAATGATTTGGTCTTATGTGAAGGTCGTCATTTTACTAAAGTAATATTCTACACAGAGTTTGATGTTAAGAAATAATGGCTTTTCCCAAAAGTGATCATCTTAGAGATACTGTCATTACGTTGAACTTCAATGTATCTAACGAAGTCACAGAATTGTGGTGTAAATTAAAAAAATATATTTTAGTGCAATTATTAGGTACACATATTTAGGTCCCTTCTTAAAAGGTTTTCGAAAACAAAAATGGCTACATGATTTAATTAAAAAATCCTTATATTGTTTTTGTCTCGCACAGTTAGCAATAAAATTGTATAGTGACAATTTTAATGGGAATTCACACTGTCTAGTGACACTGTAAATGACACTAATTTGCAGAATAGTAAGTTAGTTCATACTTTAAGAAGAACCCTGTCACTTTTTCTGACACGTAATAAGTTTTGAATCTTGTACAGAGGTTTCGAAAAAGTGACTTACAGGCTTATATCCATTTAAATATTGGTTGAGAGCATGTTCTTCATCCCAAAACTCCTTAAAATAGACTTGTATTGAAAGTTCCAACAGGATAAGTGGCAAATTTGTACAAAAACAAAATCTTTTTTATATGGTCCTTATAGAATAAAATTTGTAAAATAATTAATATGCTGTAAGTAATTAAAAGCAAAATGACCGATACCTTTCCATATAGCATTCATAGATATCCTTGATAATTTCAAAATACTAGCTAAAATTTTTTTATGTGTGCTTCTTTTATCTAAGGGAACATAAAAGCTACTTTTCTGAGGAAAATCTACAGCTCAAATGTTGAGATCTACGTCGGTATAATAGACTTTAGACAAATGTAAATAAATTCATACTAGAAATTATGCAGGTGAAGCTATGGAAAGCTTGTTTCCAGACC